TACGTATTAAAATGGAGAGAATATATGATAGTTGAAATGTAATAGCAGTATACATATAGTAGTAAGGGGAAAACGTATATATGTGATCATATCATATATGTGTAATATTTTATTCACAAATACTGGTTTGAAACAAGGATTACTTCCTAACCGAATTGTTATAAAAGATTTTGAATTTTGCTAAACTAGTTTGAAGGATTAAAAAATAAAACATTTGTTGTAATTTTTGTTTTAAATTTAAATAAATTTTACATTCAATTAAAAAAAAAATCTCCACTCATACAAATTTGTTACGTTCGTATATCATCATCACATGTCTTTTTAGAAATACGGATATTCTAGAATTTAATAAATATTTATGTGGCTTTCATTAGTTGATGTTGTTTAAGAAGATCAATGCAAAAAGAGGATTATCTCTTGGTTTCGGTGATAACAGAGCTAACGACGGGCTCGAGACTATGAGGCACGTGTCGCTGTCTAAAGGCATTTATTGATGCACATTGTCATGCAGAATCCGAATATTGTTTATTTCGGGGTGGCCATCACAATTCACTTTTTGGTGAAAAAGTTTGCAATCTTTATTTTACCTAAAAATATTTCAATGAATCGAGATCGCGTAAACTATTCAGATCATTTCTAAACAATGGAGAAATTAATTTTTATAAGTTAAGAACAATAATAACGATAAAAAAAAATTAAACAATATGTCTTTGTATTAATAAAAGTTATATGTGGATCTTACATTGTATATTTAATTTATACATGTCTAAAGTCGGTTGGATACAATCTAAAGAAATATAAAAAAAAATTTAATCTCAATCGATTTTTTTATTTTTCGTGTTAATTTTTTCTTTTTTATTTGGAGCCTGCTAGATCGATCGAACATCGTGGACCTAAACCGAAACTGTCTTCGTGGGCCTAGTCCGCTCTTCTCCTAACTAAACTCCGAGTTGGTTCGGATCTAGGTCGAGTCTTGATGATGATGCTAAATCGGGCACCATCCAATTTCTATTCCGCTAAAAATACTTTTAGCGCGTTGTACCACTAATCTTCATATAATTAATATACTCTAAAATCTCATGTTTATATTTTCTTTTGTAATTGATAACTATTAAACTCTTAATACCAAGAAAATTATCAATCAAAATCTTCATATAATAAATTACATTAAAATTATATAACTGGTCATAGCAAATTAGTTTTGGTGAGATTCCAATGATATTTGGCACAATTTTTTAGCAAAGTCGGCCTCTATGGTCTGCCTAGGCACAATCATGCCCGATTTTGGTCATATAATCGAGTCAGAGAATTTTCGGTTTAGAGATCTGATTAATTAAGTCTGAAAACCAATTTAGATAGGTATTTTTATAATCTTTTTTTTTAATGTTACTATTATGGAAAATAGTAGCTATAGTACTAAGTACTAACATTGATTAAATATCTTCTTAATATTAAAAGTCAAATATTATAGGCCAGTTTATGCGTGATTCCTACAATTTTTTTCAACATTATTAATTTACTGTTAATTATTCTAATTGCCAGACACAAATTTTAGCCATTTATTGCAGGGTTCAAATTAGTTCTATTGCCAAACATAGCTATTGTATATAATATTATTCAGCAAACTAATCTAAACCATTTAGAAAGAACGTAAATGTTTTATAATTATGATTGTTCTTATAATGTATGTGATTAATTTATGTAGACAAGGAAATAAAAATAATGTTGTTTTGAATTATTTTACAGGTAAATCACATTTCTATAGAGCATATTTCTATATACACAAACAGATTTTTGATTTTATATAATAGTTCTCTCAAAAACTATTATTAATTATTTTCGATAATCATTTTACCCCGTATGGAATGGATAACTACTTAGTTAAAGCAATAATATGGAAACAAATATCCGATTAATTTTTGATTAAATTGATTAGGCTATAGGCTTTTCCTGGACGTAGGATCTAGTTCATAACATCTTTAATTGATTTTATAGATTCCTAGCAAAGTACGTTTACTTGTTCTTAAAAGAGAGGATAATAAATTTTTTACTATCAAGTTTCAATAAAGAAAGTTATAAGTTTCATGTGTGCTAAAGAAACCCTTAAAGGGCTTCTCATGCACTCTGGTTTTGTTTCTCAACAAATTGTGATCTTTTCTTCCAAAACTTAAACTCCATTGATCTTCCTTCAAGCATCTTCTCAATCTCTTCCATTGGCATTCCTTTTGTCTCCGGAACACAAACCACAACAAAGACAAGAGCAATGACTGAGATCACTCCAAAGATGAGAAATGTCCAAGAAGTGCCAATAGCTTCAGTCAATGAAAGAAAAGATTGAGCCACAATTAAATTCGATATCCAATTCGCGGTTGCAGCTATGCCTCCACAGATTCCTCTGAATCTTAATGGATATATCTCTGAGTTAACTATCCATGGAACAGTTCCCATTCCTGGAGAGAAGGAAATGATATAAAGTCCCAATCCAAGAAGAGCAAACCAACCAAAATTGCTTGGACATCCTCTTGTGTACCAAAGCCGGTTTTCGTTATGACATAAGTCCTTAACCGAATCATTAGCAATCCAACACGCCCCGGGATGTTCCTGCATTGAAGAATTTGGTATTCAAGTGTTTTCATGTTAAAACATTTTTTTTGTTTGATTAAATTTTACATTCATTTAAAAAAAAATATATATATATATTTTTCGGGTTTTTCTCGAAAAGTCTTTTACCTTTCCACTGGGAGATGAACAAAACCCACAAAAAGGAGAAGAAGCTTTCAAACAAGTCATACAATCCCAAGCTTTGGTTTCTATAGCTGAGTCATAATCCGGACAAGTAATGTTCTTGAACCTTTGTGTCTCGAGTGAGCTAATCGCGGGAGCGTGAGTAGTCGCTTCATGGAAAACACCGGTTAGTAATCCTAGCGAGATTATGACTCCAAAAAGACTAATGATCAAAAGCTTTTTCCTTCCGGTTCTATCGATGAAGTAAATGCTAATGATGGAACCGAATGCGTTAAGTCCTGCGGTAACTAGAGACAAGAGAATAGCTGTTCTGTTTGAAGCGAAACCGGCGAGCTGAACAATGGTTGGACTGTAATACATAACAGTGTTGATTCCAACAAACTGTTGAAACACTTGGAGACCAACACCAGCTATTAGCCCTCGTCTAACGGTTTTCGTTTTGCATAGTTTGATCATGTTGATCTTCTCGGTAGATCCTTCTTCGCGTATCTCTGATTCAACCGAGTCTTTAAGTGCGCAAATCTCTTGTTCTACATCTTCTGCTGAGTATATTCTTCTCAGAATTGCTTTAGCCTCTTCTTCTCTTCCCTATTTACATTAGGAAAGTACAAAATGCTATGTAACTAAATCTTGGAAAGAAGAAAGAATGATCGAAAGTACCTTGCGGTATAACCAACGAGGCGATTCTGGAAGTGTAAACATTAAGAGAAACTGTAAAAGAGCTGGAATTCCTGCGATTCCAAGCATCCATCTCCATGTTCCCGTCACCTACAACAAGAGAAAACAGAACATTAACACCTTCAAAATAAGCCAAAGTGAGAGAGAATTTTTGGTTCCAAGTGTTCAATCCGAGTAAACCGAATCAAATTATAATATGGTTAATATGAGAAACCGAAATTGAATCCCAACTAAACCGAAAAACTAATATTTTTCGTTGCCAAAAACTTGAATTTATGATTGAAACTATGACATTATTTGATTAAAATTCGAACTTG